TTACCTCTTCTTTTCCAATTTGGATCCCTTTTATTTCTCTCTCTTGCCTGATTGCTGTGGCTAGGACTTCCAGGTCTATGTTGAATAGGAGTGGTAATAGTGGGCATCCTTGTCTTGTCCCTAATGAAACTTACAAGCTTCTGCACAGCAAAGGAAACCATAAGTAAAACAAGAAGACAACCTACGGAATGGGAGAAAATTTTTGCAAATGAAACCGACAAAGGCTTGATCTCCAGAATATATAAGCAGCTCATATGACTCAATAAGAAAAAAATAAACAACCCAATCCAAAAATGGTCAAAAGACCTAAACAAGCAATTCTCCAAGGAAGACATACAAATGATCAAAAGGCACATGAAAAAATGCTCCATGTCACCAATTATCAGAGAAATGCAAATCAAAACTACAATGAGGTATCACCTCACACCTGTCAGAATGGCCATCATTCAAAAATCCACAGATGACAAATGCTGGAGAGGCTGTGGGTAAAGGGGAACCCTCCTACACTGCTGGTGGGAATGCAGTTTGGTGCAGCCGCTGTGGAAAACAGTGTGGAGATTCCTCAAAAGACTACGAATAGACTTACCATATGACCCAGGAATCCCACTCCTGAGCTTGTATCCAGAAGGAACCCTACTTCAGGATGACACCTGCACCCCAATGTTCATAGCAGCACTATTTACAATAGCCAAAACATGGAAACAGCCTAAATGTCCATCAACAGGTGACTGGATAAAGAAGAAGTGGTATATTTATACAATGGAATACTGCTCAGCCATAAAAACCAACAACATAATGCCATTTGCAGCAACATGGATGCTCCTGGAGAATGTCATTCTAAGTGAAGTAAGCCAGAAAGAGAAAGAAAAATACCATATGAGATCACTCATATGTGGAATCTAAAAAACAAACAAACAAAAACAAAGCATAAATACAGGACAGAAATAGACTCATAGAGAATACAGACTTGTGGTTGCCAGGGGAGCGGAGGGTGGGAAGGGATAGACTGGGATTTCAAAATTGTAGAATAGATAAACAAGATTATACTGTATAGCACAGGGAAATTTACACAAAACATTATGGTAACTAACAGAGAAAAAAATGTGACAATGAGTGTGTATATGTCCATGTATGACTGAAAAATTGTGCTGAACACTGGAATTTGACACAACACTGTAAAATGATTATAAATCAATTAAAAATATTTAAAAAAAAGACCACAATAGATAACTTTTTCTTCAAAATTCATAAAGACAAAAAAAGTTAAGTAAAATGAAAAGACAGGAGGACTACTCTTAAAAGAGCAGGAGAAAGCTACTGGAAAAAAAAATAATGAAACAGAGCTCACCAGTCTACAAGACCCTGAGTCCAGAAGACGGTAATAAAAATGCTAACTGAATTAAGAAACATTACTGATATAAACCCAGATAACTGTAACAAGGAATAGAAACTACGAAAAGGAACCAATCAAAAATAGGTAATTACATTTCTGAAACAAAAAGCAGTCTAGAGGGGAGTGGCCATGATGGCAGAGTAGAATGATGCTCTTAGCTCACCCTCTCCCACAAATACACCAAGAGAGACATCCACGGACCCACTCATTCACTCAGAACACCTGCTGAATTTTGACTGAACATCACCTTCTTCAAAAGACAAAGTTCGTCACAAATCTGATTAGAGAAAAAAAAGAAAAGGGAAATTAGTGCAGGACCTGCGGCAAAGGAGAAGTAGCACTCATAGGCTAGGACAAACCTTCTCTAAAGGAGAGGTCAGCAGGGATGCAGGGGGAACCTCCAAGGCTCAGAGAAGTGCACAGCAGCCCCTTGGCTAACAGAACTGAGAGAAACCAGCACAAAGGGCCCCTGTGATCCCCAGCCCTTGATGTACCAGGACTAGCTTCTCAAGTCCAGCAAAGGGTTAGGGCTGACTGTGCAGAGGCAGCCTCACATGGCTGCAGTGTGCTGTGTGTGGCTAGGAGTGTATACAGAACAGAAAAGCCTGAGTCCCCCATAAAAAAAAAAAGCAACACTGCTGGCACGCATTGAGGGGAGGGGCACAACATGACTGAGTCACAGTCTCTGTCTCCCCAGGCCTGCTGGCACATTCTTAAGAGAAAAGGAGTGAGGTTCAGCCATAACCACCATATTCGCTGGTGCACAGCTCACAGGTGGAAGTGGAGTTGAAATCTGAATCTGTACCCAGGGGCTCCACAACTTCATAGGTGGATTGAGATTAATTTACAGCCCCAGGCAGAAGGTACCCTTTTGCACCACAGGTGCCTTTGTGGACCCACACCTCTAAGACAAATGAGCAAGGTGTGGAGCTCTGGCACACAGCAGGGGTGAAGGCTGGTGCAGCATTTTCAGTGGGCCTGGTACCTTTCATGGACACAGCAATGGGGATGGCACTGACCTGGTAATGAGACCATACAATTACTACAGGGCTGGGGGCTCTACCAGTGCAGGCCTCTAGGATGAACGAGCAGAGTCCACACAGTGGGGTGAGTGCAGGAGCAGTGTTTTGTACTGGGAACGGTGCTGACCCAATAGTGTGCCACGATCCAGGTGTGTGACCTAGCAGCTGGCAGATCTGCACTGGGAGCTTTGAGGGCAGAGAACCTGGGGAACACTGGAGCAGAGCAATGACAATCCCACAGCTAAAGCAGAGGCAAGGGCAGAGTCAACAAAGAGTACTTAAAGCCCTCTAACCCTACCTACCATGCAACACAGCCCAGAAATGGGTCTGGAAGCCTCCATTCCAACAAAAGGGGAACAGGCCCAGCCCCTGTCAGGGCTGTGACAACCACAGAACAAAAGGAAGCCCTTAACAACCAGGGCAGGCTCTGGTCACCACAACACTAGCCACACCCCCAATCAAAGGTATAGCAGCCAACACACATGGAAGAAAGATGTGGCAACTATCCATACTAAAAACAGACCCCATGACAAAATTATTAGAGATGCACACTCTACACAGGAAGGCATCTTTAAAAAAAAAAACAGACCTTCAAGACCACAGTAGATAACTGATACTCTATAATACATAGTGCCAGAGAGATATGAGTAAAATGAAGAGGCAGAGAAACTACTCCCGATAAAAAGAACAAGAGAAGTCCCCTGAAAGAACAATAAGATAGACCTCAACAGTCTACTAGATCATGACTTCAGAAAGAGAGTGACAAAAGCACTGAAGGAGATAAGAGAGACTATGAACAGAAATAGAGAATACTACAAAAAGGAAATAAACTATACAGAGGAGCCAATTCAAAAAAGAAAACTCAATGGCTGAGATAAGAGCTGAGCTATAGATAGTCAAAAGCAGACTAGATAATGCAGAGGAACGAATAAGTGACTTAGAAGACAGGATAACAGAAATCACCCAGTTAGAACAGCAGACCGAAAAGCAAGTAAGAACAAATGAAAGCAATATAAGGGACCTATGGGATAATATAAAGCATGTCAACCTATGCATAATAGAGGGCCCAGAAAGAGAAGAAAGAGCAAAGAAGATTGAAAAGGTATTTGATGAAATCATGACTGAAAACTTTCCAAATAAAGAAGGAAATAGATATCCAAGTACAGGAAGCACAGAAGGTCCCAAACAAAAACTCAAACAGGTCTACATTAAGACATATTATAATTAAGATGGCCAATGGTTTCTATTTTCTGAACAAGTAGGCTTATTCTAGTAGAAGGTTAGTTTAACATTTTAAAATATATCAGTATAATTCACCATTAAAATAGACTAAACAAGGAAAAGCAGATGTTCATCTCAATATATTTGACAAAATCTATTGGGAAAGGCACAGTTGTAGAACTGCAAAGTGGACATGGATTAAGGGTGCTTTTTCAGAGAGCTAGTAATGTTTTTTAACAGAAATTTAAGTCTTCTGTGTTCCATAACCCATAATTTTGGCTTTGCATAAAGATGCTGGAATCTTAATTCCTGAGATAGAGAGGTATTGATGTATATGCACCCAAAATAATTCTGGAATCCTGCCAATTTGGGAACTTGAGCCTCCAAGTTAAAATCACATAGATCTGTAGAACAGCACAATGTGACATCCTGCATTTGTGAACTTCCTGATTTTATGATTTGTGCCTCATTAAATCTCAACTACTATATATAAAATAGATAAACAACAAATTTATACTGTATAGCACAGGGTACTATATTCAATATCTTATAGTAACCTATAATGAAAAAGAATATGAAAATGAATCTATGTATGTATATGTATGACTGAATTATTATGCTGTACACCAGAAATTGACACAACATTGTAAACTGATTATACTTCAAACTTAAAAAAAAACTAATTCAACAGGAAAAAAAAACTCAATATCCACAGGGACAAACCAAGTCCTTTGTAAGTTATACATGCGCAACAAGCACTTTCTGAAATAGAAATTGAATAAAACTCTTAGTATAATGCCAACTGTTTTAGCAGCTTTATAGCATGTTTGATTTTTTTTCTGTTGTACCATGTTTTCACCTTCATGAATGCCCACTGCAGGGTGCCCTCACCCAAAATGAGAATTATTAGTATTTCCAATCTGCTGTTTGAAAATTACAGCTTATATTTCAAATTGGGTTTGTCTTAAATTACTATTATATTTGAACAGCTTTTCATACTTAATTAGTCATGATACTGGGAATATCATTTTTAACTTGTGATTTTATTAAAGTACATACATTTTAAAAATTGCTTGTTATTTCTCTTCAATGTTGATATCTTTATATTTTAAATTACATGTGCTAATTGTTCAAAATACAAAGATAGAAAACTGCACATAAAAAGTAACAATCATTTAAAAATCCACCATTAAAAGTTCACCATGTTATTGTTTCAATGAATGTACTTCCAAAGATCACATAATCTTTCTATTTGGTGATTCATGATGTCAAAAGTATCATGTTTAAGTGGACATGTGTTAGGATCTGTTTCTGGATTTGTTTTAATTTTGGGTTACATATGCTCTACTGTTCTGGTTTTTGTACATTTAAGATAGAGTTCACCATATGCTGCTCCATACATCAACCAGTCACATCCTAATTGAAAGGTGCTCCTCTGTTTCTGAATTATCTTGTCTATCAATAATTTATTGACAAATTTGAAACTTTTTCAAGTACTTCCCCCAAATATTAGATTTTCAATGGAATCAAATGTTCCCACAAATTATATTTTTAATTGGAAATTAATGCCATATTTATAAGTGAAATTCATTAGATTCACTTTGCTAGTATATTTTCTTGCTAGTTTGTAGATATAAAGAAAAACGCCTGGGGTTTCTTTCCTTCATAGTTTCTCTTCCTCACCAGTGAGACCATGAAACGCCTTAAAATTTTGTCTCTTTCATGTAGGAATCTTTTTCATTTACTTTTCTTGAGATTTTTTTGCTGGAAAAACAAAATATAAATAACCAATCAACCAACCAATCAGCAAATAAAAACAAATATTAAAAAAACAGAAAAGATAAAAGTAAGTTTGTGTACACTTCATGCACAAGTAAAAAATCATACTCTAACCATCAGTTTTTCATAACCCAATAAAGTCCATTGACACACAGTATGGAAAAGGCTCTGCTGACTGTGCAGACCCAAAAAAGCACTTTTGAAAGTTGCTACTCTCACTTGGTCTCTTTTAGACACCTTTGGGAAACCAAGAGGTGGATTGAAAACCTTAAGGGAACTTCTTATTTGTTATGCATGATTTGTGTCCCTCCAAAAATTCATATATTAAAGTCTTAACTCTCAGTGTCTCAGAATGCGAGATTACCATATTTGGAAATAGAGTTGTTGTTTATATAATTAATTAATATGAGGTAATATTGGAGCAGTGTGGGCCCCTAATCCAATATGATTGGTGTCTTTATAAAAAGGGAAATTTTGGACATAGAGACCCCAGGGAGTATATGATGGGAACATTGGAGTTGTACTGCCCCAAAACAAGGAAAGACCAGAAGTTTGGAGATACCTGAAACAGGTCTTTCCCTAGAGCCTTCACAGTGTGCAGAGCCTTCCAAACAAGGCTCAAACTTCCAGCCTCCAGAACTGTGAGACATTAATTTCTGTGGTTTAAGTCACTCAGTTTGTCAGCTTAATTATTGGAAGCCCAGGTCACTAATGCAACATTTTTTTTATTTTAAAATATCTTTTAGAAATTTCTTATTTTCCCTATCCTCAAACTTTCCATTACTTGTGGCAGTAAATTGCCTGAATCTTACAGGCACCTATACATGATTCATTTCATTATTATTTTTCCACAGAGAGCGTTTGACTCAACATAATCTTCCTAACATTATTCTTCCACGGGCACTCCCATTTCTTTCCTCTGTGTATCCCAGGCTTTTATGGATCTGAGGATCATGAAGGCATCATGAGGGCAGGTAAGATGTGCCATCACAACAGAGCTAGTTACCAATCTTCACCGCTGAAGCCACAAATGAGATCAGGGCAGGGAGGATCTCTGCAGTCTAGACTGGAGCTCACAATGGGTAGAAATGACCTTGCCACTCGGGAAAGGCAATGGCCCAAGATGGAAGTATCCCAGGCAAGGCTCAGCCTTCCCAGTGACCTGAGGGACCCATTCAGTATTTTGACTTTCTCACACAGAGATCCAAAGTGCACAGTTTACAGGGGATGGCTAGAAGGTTTACTCACTTATTTTCCACATCCTGAATGGTGTCAGGCAGGGGCAGATTTCTGGTCTCAGGTAGGAAAAGCACAGCAAGACCAGCAGTGATTGGACAGACTCCATAGATGATCCAGGGCAAGGTGGGTAGATATATCTCTAGAGTCATCAAGAAGGGAGCCAGTGCTGATGCACACTTACTAGCCACCGTATCTAATCCTGTAGCTTTTGCCCTGAAGTGTAAATGGCAATCATCATCATCATCATCCAGTAAAAATACAGACATGTAATTTGTAACATTTGATTTTGACTTGACTATGGAAGATAAAACACAATAATTACATACATGGGCTTGATGATAAACACCTGTTTTTGAAATTTGCTCTGTAATTTTCTAGCTTCCTTTGTCAGGATCAAAGTGTGTTAAGACCCATTTCCATCATTTTAAACAGAGTGTAGCACATTGCATCTACGCTGACAAGTGGTCTAAAGAAATTAAAGACAAGATGCATTGACATACTGTTTAGCACAGTACATAGCACAAAGTCAGCTTTTTCAATAAACTTTGGTATAATTGTTGTTAGTATATTATTACTATTTCTATTACAAATGGTTGCCTTATAGTTAACAGATCGTATTGCATTCATTCCTGCAATAAACATCAAAAGTCCTACTTTTGGTTCTGGCATAATATCCATAAACTCTTATACCTGAGGAGAGTGGGGATGAGCTCAACATTTTGGACAGAGTAAGTGGTGATAGAGGCAGCAGCAAAGCTGATTCCAACACTTGCCAAAGTCACACGCAGGGTCTGCATTTCTGGAGACAGAAAGACCAGTGAGACTAAGAAATTTGAATTGAAGGACTTAGTATCCACCAAACTTGATCAGGAAATAATACCTATAGTTTACTTGTATTTTTGAACTATATTGAAGAAAACTGTACAGTGTGAGGGGTCATGGAGTAGTTGTCAAACTGAGAAATGTAAATTATCAACATAGGTGGTAAAAATTATCTGAATTCATCAGAGCAGAACTCTGCATTTATCTGATATTTTCCAGAGAAGGAGAAGACAAGATGAATCTGGAAGAAATCTGCTTTTCCTTATTCTGTTGAGTACTTGCTATACCCTTATTGTAGAAGGTAGGGTTGTCATGTGGACAATTGCTGGGTCTAAGACTCAGCTTTAACCTAGATGACTTTACAATTAATGTCCGGAATCTAAAGTGACCAATCATCTTGGTTTACCTGGGAGTAGGGAGGTTTTGCAATGTGGGATTTTCATTGATTAAAACCAAGAAAGTCCCTGGTAAACCTAAATGACTCAGTCAACTTGCTGTAGATACAACACTGCCATGGGGTAAGGATGGCACCAGAGAGTAATAGGACAGAACTACTCTATTAGTGGCCAGCTGAAGAGACGTTAGATCTAGATCAATGTTACACATAAGAAAATTTCTATTTGGAAAAAAATTGTCAGAATTTGGGAGCCACTAAAGAAAGTTTTCTGCACAGTATAAAAAGATATCTAATTATAGCTTTATAATACTGGAAAGAACTCTATTGTAAAAGAGTAAGCTCTTTTTTGTCTCTTTTCCCAAGAACTTATTAGCAGAATTTCTCATAATCCCTCAGACTGGTTTGGGGGAATACTTAGTATATAATTGGGACCTCTGTTGATCCTGGCTATAGACACGTGTGGCTAATACAATCCCTGAAGAATAGGGAAAAGAATGTTTCTTTCCCCAAAATCCAGTCTTCTCTCACCTTGTGACACAAAAATGTTGACCAAAATGGAAAGTCCCACCAGGAACAAGAAAAGTGTCTGGGTTGGTCGACAGCCCATATATTTCAGTACTAAAGGTACAAGGCTTCGGACTAAAGTTGTGAGAGCTCCAAAGATTACCTGGAACAAGAAAATATTGCTCCCAAAGTGCTGTAGATTGAGAGAGATGCCATAGAAGGGTACTGTGTTTGCAAATCTGTAGTGAACAAACAAAGACACAAGACATAAAATTTAGAGCCAGCGTGTTACAGCTGATGATTATATTGACCCAGGCAACCAATGATTAGTGTTAAAAAGATCCAGTCTGATTTGTATAATACTTCATTTTAAGGTGATTATTTTAAAATTAGCATAAATAATTAGATAAGAATATATAAAAATGATACTCCTTCTGCCATTCTTTTGTCTGAGTCACTTAGTAGAGTTGGCAGTCACAGGAAAACGTAACCCAATCCAATCGCCAAACTGGATGGTATACAGAAGTTGAATATAGGATTGAAACTTGGAAATTAAGAAATAATTTCTTTTTGAGGGTTGTCAGTATGCTGTGAATTCTCCCTCTCCTCCCTCAACCCCTATACTGTAACAAGGTTCCTTTTTCTCAACTAGTGATTGAAGCTGCAAAGAGACTTATCTTGTCCACTTGACCTGGGAGCACAGTCTCCTGGGGTCTAACATAAATCTAGGAAATTTAAAGTTCACATCTAATTTTTAGGGCTGAGAGAAAATGCAAGAATTCACGCGAACAGGCATGCACTAACTGTACTACAGGAAATGGAATCAAGGTTTCCACTGGGGACCTACAATTTACCCAGTAAGCATCTAATGGAAAAGAGTCCACTTTAATGATCTACTACACCGAGAGAGCTACATTTAGACATTACAGCAGAAGAAACCACCACAGATCACAGTAATTACAAGCAAGTAAGTCTGTTTTTGACCATTATCTCTACTTTTTCTTTCCACACTGTCCAGGATTAAGAAAACTAAGTCTGTCACCTAGTGGATAAGGGAAAGGTGATAAAACACAATGCAGTTAATTGAAGAAGCAGTCCACTAGGAAGAGGTTAACTGTATAATTCAATAGTTAATTTCTTAAGCTTAGCAGTGGGTCTATATGGTCCTATATGAGCTTTTTATAACTCTTAAAAACTTCAGAATTTAATTTAAAATCTCTCCCCCCGACTCCACCAAAGTAAGCACTTATATTCCCTGAGGAGATAATGTATAATATTTTCTAGAAGTCCTAATGATAACGTCCCAAACTGGAAACAAGTAGAAGTCCAAAGACGTTGAAGCACATAAAGAAATTGTAGTGTCTTAATCTACTGTAAACTAAAACACTAGGAGAGAGAATGAACTACAGTTACATGCACTCGATGGACGAATCTACGTGAATGAGTATGAGTAAGAGGGGCCTGTCACAGAACACTTTTATCATTTACATTATGTGAAGGTCAAGATCAGGCAACACTCCTCCATGGTGATGGAGGTCAGAACAGTTGTTAGGTTTTATTTGGCACAGGAGAGGGCAGGGAGGAGGGAATGAGAGGAGGGCAGAGGCGGTAGTGGTTATTGTTCTAATACCAGAGGGGGCCTTCTGAGGAATTTGGATTTTTCTATCTTGACCTGGACATTGGTTATATTTTTACATACTGAAATATTCATTGAGGTGTATATATTCATGACATCCTCATGTTACTGTTTGCAAGATTTACTTAAAATTGAAAGAAACCAATGAAAAAATTAAATGCCAAAATCTGTACTGTGATGAAAGTCCTCAACATCAGTCTCCAGTAAAGAGACTTGTAGTGTCACATGATGGAACTACTCCTCATTGTATAAATCAGTTCCATGTCAGTCTTTTTATAACCTTTTGACTATTCCCAAACAAAGCAATTATTTGGTGTGTTTTCCTCATCTTTTATTTCCAAATCAGCACCTCCTTCTCACAACACAGTTACAAACTTTGAAATAGATTTATGTCTCCACTCCTTGAATGTTGTCATGCTGTGTGAAACCCACCTCACAAAGAGCAAGAGACAGATCCTCTTACGTAGATTGGGTGTGCGGAACAAGTCAAACATCGTAGTTTTGGTCTGTGCTGCCTCCAGCTCCTCCTGCATGGCAGATCTCAAACCCTTCAACAACAAACATGTATCATTTGCCAAAATAATGCCAGGTATTGTGGTGAGTAATGGTACCCAACAGGACAAGAAAGATGTATTCCCTTTCTTTCCAGAGTATCATAGTACATGTGCAATCACAGATGTGAACATGATATGAAGGAAGATGTAGGGATTTGAGGAACACTCCAGCAAATTAGATAGCAGGAATGATATTTGGAAAATGAGGCAGTAGAAGGGGCAGGGCATCCATGAGAGTACACAGGCTACAGATAATCAGGAAGTGAGCCAGAGGAAGTAACTGCACAGTGGTCAAAGCATCTTTTCTATGAGATAGCCATGAAAGATGAGGGAATTAAGCTTGCATTCTCAAATAGCTGCCCTAGTTAGAAAAGCAGTTTTTCTGTCTCAATAAGGAGAAGGCTGGTGTCGGTTTATGACAGCCCTCCAACTCAGTAACCACTTTACCTTTCCTGCTCACCTCCATGTTCAGAGTTTCTTCAGCATTCTTTATTCCATTTCTTTGTGCAACTTTTTTAAGTTCCTTTAAGCCCTTATCTGGCTTATTAATGACAATCAGCCACCGAGCAGATTCCGCCAGCCACCTGTTGAAAGAAAGGCATACATATGCAGTCAACTCTCTTCTGCTTGTCATATGATTATTCACAATGGATGCTTTTGCCTTCCATCTAATATCCAACATTCACTTGCTGGGTTAAGAACAGAAACCATGTAATTTACACAAATACTAGGAAAATATGAGAATGATCACACCATGCAGTACACTTAAAGGTGTACTACATGCAAAGGATCACAGCCTTTGGAGTCAAATTGACTCTCTTCTTACTCTTTAGGAGATTTTCCAAGAAGCTTATGAAGCTTAAACGAGAGAGTCCCACACATGCATAATTCCTTCCCAAAGCTTGGCATGAGTTCTATCAACTTTGTGCTCGTTTATAATATATGTTTTTTTAAAAGAACACCCAAATTA